CTGTTACAAGCTGTTGTGACAGAGCTGCAGCAATGCTGTTTTCAACAGGCCTGTCGCAAGTTGTTGACACCATGGGTTGTAAAATAACAGATTGTAACATTGTTATTTTACAATCCATGTTGACACAGAGCTGCAGCAACGCTGTGGTCAACAACGTGCGACATGAAGCTTCATGTATCCACTATTTTGAACAAAAAACGGTCAAACAGGTTGCCATATTTCGGTTGTAGTGTTTCGTATCATAGCAAGACTTTTATATGACAAACTTACGAAAAAATACGACAAAGAAAGGTTCTTATCGTAAGCAATTTTAAAATTAATTGGTCATTAAGTGCGATCGAAATATGACTACTTGCATATTTTTCTTCAAAATAGTACTTACACAAAGCTTCAATAAGGCGTCATTCTCGCTCGCAGATTTCGGCAGATTTCACTTGAAATTGGAAATAAATTATATAACGAATTTCATTTTCATATCAACAATGAAGAACGTTGCAGTGAACACTTGGTTGTTTATGTATTTTTCATTGCTTAAGCTCTACATCTTGTGTTCTCATTGCCACAGTTTCTTCAAAAATCAAAACAGTTTTGAACTTGTTTGCTTTTGTTTGAGGCAGTTGTTGAAATTTTGTTTGGCTCAAAAATTAAAAAAAAAACTAAACATGATTACGTGATTGATATGTTTCTAATATTTCGTCCAATTGCAACGAGGAATGATGACGTGTGCACACGTCTTTGTCCAATCAGATGAAAGAAATATAGCGATAGCACACGTCAGTAAATTGGAATTTGGATTTTGGAAATCGGAACTATTTCTTAAAAATAAAACAGCGCCTTTTGCATTTAATCACAGAGTAGATACTATAGTCTCTCTTCTGTGATTTAATATTACCAATGGCAATGATTGAATGAGAAAGTGATGCCGGAAGTATCCATTACGTGCGATTTTTCTCTTTACTCACATTTTCGATTTGTTTCCCAACAACAGGCTTGTTGAAACTTGTTGTGACAGGACAAAAATTGTTTGTTGTGGACAGGTTTGTCGCAGGGCTTATAACAAGCTTGCTGCACACTTAACAAAAACAACTCCCGACAGGTCTGTTGGAACAAGTTGGAACAACCTGTTGATTTCATCAGATTTGCTGCAAGTTGTCCTATCAGAACTGTTATCTCTTGTTAGTAACAGGTTTGTAGCGGGTTGTTTCGTTGTCAACAGCTTGCGACAGATCTGTTCCCACAAGCATGTACACCGCCTGACGAAACCAACAGACCTGTCGCGACTTGCTGACCACTTGCCGCAAGCCGGCAAAATCAACAATTGTCGTCAGGCCTGTGAGATTTCTGGCTGTGTAGGGATATCGCGCCTTCCGCGCTCGAGTTGTTAGGAAGCCAATTGATTTGAATGATCACCCACCACCCGCTAAAAACTGTAAATATTTTATTGGCTCATTTTTTGTGAACAACTGCATTCAAACAGTTTGTGGCATGAATGTTAAAATTTCTTAGTAATATGTTTCAATTGATATATAGATCAAGATGAATGTTGTGTTGGAACTTTCTGCCATGTGAACTCCACTTGCTCAGATTCTCTCGGAGGTTTTAACTGTTCTTGCGACGATGGTTTTATTGGGAATGGCGCGGATTGTCAAGGTAAATTTTCGGTGTATTACTGTAGCTTTTATTTTGCACGATATGATTCAATGCACCAAGTGTCAAAATTATGTTTCTCCCATGCACTTGGGAGAGAGAATTGATATATTCCAAAATCTTATTATAGATTCTTTTTATCGTAGTTGCTTTAAAAGACATAACCCTTCATTTTACTCTAAATCATTATCCATCAACCGTCTTACATATATCCATATCTATATATAGTCGTTTTTTTGTGAAGTCACAACTGGAATAAATGCTGGCTATATCCCTACTTTTTACTTTTGTCTATTTTAAATTAAAATACAAGTTATGTTTAAAGTGCATATATGACATGAAATTTCTTATTTTCTTAAATGAAAGAACTCTTTAAGCTGTAGTGTAACTTATATTTCAGTTTTTTGCTTTCATGGTTTGTTCCCGAGATATTTCAATTTGTTTTATAAGTAAATGAGTATGAATATGTCCGCTAATTTATGACGTCATGTTGGTTGCAAGCTCCTCAAAATGGTTGAATATCAATGCTATCATCCAAGATGATAATTTGAAACTTCACTCACTGGTAAATGTGATGAAACACTGGAGAAAAACGTGAACAGATATCTACAGTTTTTAGAGTTAATACATTTATAACCAGTGTAAATTGAGCTTGCAACCAACGTGACGTCATAAATTAGCGGACATATTCACACTCATTTACATATCAAACAAATTGAAATATCTCGGGAACAAACCATAAAAACAAGAAACTGAAAAATAAGTTACACTACAGCTTAAAGAGTTCTTTCATTTAAGAAAATAAGAAATTTCATGTCATATGCACTTTAAGCATTTCACTGATATTAGTTCCTAGTTATGGCATGATTTTAATTTATTTAGGCCTAATTACAAAAAAAAATATTTCGATTCGGGTATGTTCCGACTCTGCAGTATTTCATTTAGTTGATTTGCAGGCATTGCATGTATGTGATGGAACTATGCGCAAGACTTAATTTTATCGTTCGACAAGCTTTTTGCATTTCATTTTATCCCATAATAAATAATACTTATATAAGTGAGGGACAAACGAGAGATCCCAGACGCATGTAGAGGTCCTATTACCTATCCCAAATTAAAGTAAATCACGTAAACTTAAACAAAAGTTAGAAAGTAACGAAATACTTCGCCACAAAATGAAAATAACGAAGTAAAACGTTACTTCTTAAAACGACTTCGTTCCAAGTAAAAGTATCCCAGAAAAAGTTTACTTTTTTTACATGCTGACTTCTCAAAAATTGTATTCAAGTACAGTAACAATTAACAAAGTACATTTACTTCGTTACTTGACACCACTGGACAAAACAGGTAAAAAGTTGGCTAGATATCAATTCCCAAAAAGAGACAACTGAAAACACTGAAATTGGTCTGTAGTTCATGCGCTCTCGGTTATTACCATTATACATTACCAGCCATTTTTGACAAGTTGAATAATGTGGCAAGAGATTGAGATATGATATCTGCATCAATAACGAACCAAATAAGGGAAATATAGCCTAGAACTATCTTTCAATTTTAAACACCCTGTAATTTAGGCCATGATGAAGCCGCCATATTGTAGTGCCAAAGTATACATGTGTATGCATCGCAGTTTTTTCAAAGGAACATAGAATTTCATTTACCTTCATTAACTGAAGCGGTGATAAAACATATAGTACATACTGCAATGTTGAGTGAAGTTTTATAAATGTGTAAACCATTCCTTTAAAAATAATGGTAACAATTGTTATAATCCATTTCAGCTCCAAACTGCAGCGATCCTTCCTGTGGACAAAATGAAGAGTGTGTCCTGGTGAACAATACCTTCGCGTGTGTTTGCAAGGATGGATATGAAGAACCTGATTGTCTTCGTAAGAATTTGCTCCATTTCTCGTTTAAAATTAATTGTCGTTATTTCCGCTTTAACAAATATTAAAAAATTTCATTGTTTTGATCAGAAATGTTTGACGGGTATTACCCATATACAATCTATCAATCAATTTTGACGGATATTACCCATAGAGCTGGGTGTTACATTTGTTTGTAACTTAAACTTACAATCGGCATATCATAAAAAACCATCAAATCTTTGAAAATGTTTTCCATGAAGGAAACCTAACCGTAACAATGGTTAAAATAAAACAATTTTTGTATCAATAATCTACAAGAGCAATACATATTTACAAGATCTAGTATTTGTTTATACTCTAATTAATTTGGTAGTGTTTATGTACGATTTAAAACATGAGCAGCAGTGTTTTATCAGATATATCTTTAGATATGATAAAACACGCACTGCGAATGTTTTAAATTGCTCCAAAAACGATCGATCTAGTAAGTTCATTGGCGAAGTAATTTTCAAAAAATACGTTGTGTAAGTCGAGAAAATCAAAGTTAAAGTGCACGTAAATCAATTCAAGGGAAATCTCTATCACATATATAAAGATAAGAAACGTTTATGATTTTTCTCTGCGTTTTTCTCATGAATTATTAATGAGTTTTTGAAAGTAAGTTAAATCATTTACCGTAGTAGCCTGGTCCAATACTACAGATAGCACGATACAAAAAATGCAAGGTATACACAACTGATTTAATGGAACAAAGAAATACAATCATACAACTCCAGTATTAAAGGAACTGCGAAGAATACCCAATATACTCAATTATAACTTTATGGTAGGGAAGAAATCATAACTTTTAAAAGTGTGCAGGGAATGGCGCCTACTTACAGTATCTAAGACTGCAATTTGTAAGTGAGGGCAGTATAAGTCGAAGGTCAACCAAGCAATCATCTCATTAGTTGAACATTCCACTTCATAAAAACGCATCGGCCCAGCGGACCTTCCATTATCGTGCAGTCCAATTATGGAATTATTTATGCGCAGAACTTAAAGTCACTATGACAGTGCGAAATGTTAAACGTAAATTAACAATGTAATATTATTGTAGTCATTTTAGCTCAGTTCATATTATTTGGGAGTTGTGTTTTAGTAGTTATTTTTTGTAATTGTCACTGAAAAGCCCATATCCACCTTATTTTCTGTTTTTAGGTCCAATGACAACGTGCAATATACCTGCAGTTGTCTACTATGGTCCCAGTGCAGTAAACTACCAAGTAACCATTAATAACGTAACAACCTCGGGAAATCTTGTTAGTGGAGGAGCCAAAGACATGGACTACGACCGTGTCTCCCGACGATTGTTCTATTATGTGTCAGACAACTTCTATAGCATTGAACAAGATGGTTCTGATTTACGAGACATAGGAGCAGTAGTAAATGTTGAGAGGTTCACTGTAGACGGACGAAACAATATCATCTATTACATCAATACATTAACTAACACTATTTACAAGTTGAATATGACAAACTCAGTCGGCACTGATCTTGGTATACGTGCCAAGGACATTGACATGGACAGCATAAATAAGTAAGTACTCTTAAATATGAAAACAAACGAGAAATATTTTGACCCAGCTAGGTCACAGAGAATGTCTTGGTTGCCTTTAACAACTATCCTTGCTGACCCTGAATTTAGTTTTTGAATTAAAGTGGCACTCGCGTCAAATTTCAACGAAAATGCTCTTAAAACTGTATAGTAACTTGTTTTGAAGATTTTTGTTCCCATGCTTAGCGCTTAGTTCTTGGGATGCTTCATTTTGTTTGTAACCATGTGACGTCATTGGCTCAATTACATATATTAACGGCTTATTGACCGAGCGTGAGGTCTGTACTGTGAAATATCAGACCGAGGTTTTTTAGTATGGAACGAGCGACGAAGAAGCGAGGTCCATGCAAAAAAACAGAGGTCTGATATTTCACAGTACAGACCGAATAAGCGAGGTCAATAATCGGTTTATTATATGGCTGAACTGAATCTCTGAGCATATGCTTTTCGCGCGAATTAAATCGGCTATCGTCAGTTTCACTGGGTAACAATATACGGTAGGCATGCATGCTCAATCAAAAACAATTTGGTTGTTTGAAATTTTTATCTGTAAATTTTAATGACACACAATTGGAAAATTAAAAAGCAAAAATTTTTTCTGTTTGAAAACCAAAAATTTCCTGCCAGGTAATCCGGGACACCGGTCCAGATACGGAAAATACCGACCACGGTCCGGCTTTTTACGGACCGCTTGTCAATCAATCAGAATAGAGAATTTTGAAAAGCCATATAATAAAATGAGATATCAGTAATTGTTGTGTTTTTTTTTTGCTATTTTTGATGGATTTGTTTTAAAAAATAGTATGCTTAATGATGTAGGTTAAATTAACAAACGCGCCGCATCTTTGAAAAGATTTTGATAAAAAATAGCAACGATACACAACAATTACTGATATCTCATTATATATGTAATTGAGTCAATGACGTCACATGGTCACAAACAAAATGAAATATCTCAAGAACTAAGCATGGGAACAAAAATCTTCAAAACAAGTTACTATACAGTTTTAAGAGTATTTTCGTTTAAGAAAATAAAAATTTTGACGCGAGTGCCACTTTAAAGGTGTCCTACAGTCCGATCTGCGCATGTGCACAAAGGAGCCCACTTTTTATGATACAAACAGTTTAACTATGTTTTGGGTTCTTGCAAAGCCTGATTGTTGTTTCTTGATCATTTATTATACTCTAGAAGCTTGAAAATATAAATAGTTGTCGAATAAAGCTCAATATTTTGGACGCAAAAATGTAAACAAAGGCTTTGTTTACATACGGACTGTAGGGCACCTTAAAGTTAAGCCTAAAAAATATCTGTGGTTCCGGTTTCCCGACGGACCCTATTTTTTTTCTGCCGACCCTATTATTTTTTCAACGTGATTGATCGTGTGACCCTATTGTGTCCTGATGGTTGCGAGCTGCTCATACAGCGTGCCAAAATGGCGTCTGTTGAGCTCAGTGGTTGTCACAATATTAAATTGTTGAATCAAAATACCACATTGTCTAAATTCGTCCATAGGAAATACGCGTCTCTTGTTAATATTGATGTCGGGACTGTACTGAAAATCGCCCAGCAAAAAACCCCGCCAAAACCATGAAAAAAATATTTAAAAAAAATTATATCCCACCTACGTAGCCTAATTTTTTCACGATATGAAACCGGAACCACTGGTATTTTTTAGGCCTTAGGTTACAGATTTAGGCAACAAATAACACTGATTTATTTCAAATTCGGTCACTTGGTTTAAAATATAAAGTTGAATTGAAATGATCTTTTGGCAAAACAAATTCGTACCACTCACTACAGTATAAGTTGTAAGAAAAAAGATTGTGTTCAGAAGCATAGCAGTAGGGAGGGCCCTTCTAGCTAATTATTTTGTACTGGAAATTCTGAACTTTCACTTCCTTGATGTTCCTGATGTTACCTCGAGTGCGTGCGCACACCGGGACAGGCTGAAACATTTGCCTGACAATGGTGGGAATCGAAACAGCTACCATTAGGATACCAGTCCAATGGACTGCCAACTGGGCTACGAGGTCAACTCGGTTCGAGTAGGAACCCTAGTCTAGTTCCTTGGATATTAATGTGGTCTCAATGTGCCAAAAAAATCCTTTTTAAAAATTGCCACATTTTGTCTACATTCTTTGCACTCATCGTCATCAATCTATACCATATATCACCATGTAATATGTAATACTGTAGCACTATTTTGTGCTCTATATTTAAGACATTGCTCAAAGCGTTCGATTTCCCTCAAGATTGTTGTATATTTTCTCTTCTAGTTACCTGGTTATTGTCAAGACAGATAGTGGTAGCAACGTAGAGCGTTACAATGTTGAGACGGAAGTGGTGGATGTAATCAAATCAGGAGGTGACTTTCCTCAGGATGTTTCTGTTGATGCTGATAATGGTGTAGTTTACTGGGTGAACGTCATTGGTGGTTCTACGTTTAAAGTCAAGAGTACCTCGTATGCTGGTGAAACAATAGACTTGAATATTACTTATGCTGACACAATCGAAATAGCTCAAGATGAACTTTACTTATATGTTCTGTTTGTTTCAAATGAGACAATCTATAAATATAGGAAAAATACATGGGAGCAGATGGGAAGTATCGTTGTTCCTAGTGGTACAAGTGGAATTGAAGTTGCATTTGGTGAGTATTAGAGCCCGTGCCCTGTGTCAATAAAATCGATTATTATATACCAATAGTCAAAGTCGCATTTTTCTAGTGTTTTATTGGTCGAGAGCATATCACGTGAGAGTGACGAAATTAGACTGTTTCCCTCGCAACAGCGCGAGAGGGAAACAATACGTTATCGACCGGCGAATAACGAAAA